AGAACGAGATGGGATACATGAAATGAGGAGAAACTGATGGAGAGACGAACGGAAGAGAGGAATAAGATCTAAGTTAGCCGCGAAGGACAGTAGAGACAAGTATTGACGACGAGCAATAAACGCATTAAGAGAAAAAGATTAAGTCGAACGCTCCCACCTCCTCCTCCTTCCCCCCCTGCCGCCGCCTTTCCGTCACCTCCCTCGCCATCCTCTCCTTCACCGCCTCCCCCGAGGCGACTTCATTACGCGGTGCCTCGCAGCTGCGTATTCTCGTATTCTCTTCGAGTAAGGCGTCTCGCAGCTGCGTATTATTGTATTCTCGTCCAGTAGTGTGGGTACTGCGTGGGGGCGGTACGTATTCCCGTATCACGTATCACTAGCTCCGAGTAGAGGGGGCGTCCTTGCAGTTAAGGGGAAACCTGGTACGCGGGGCTAACCCTCAGAGAGTATTCTTTAGCTCCGAGTAGAGGGGGTGCGGTCTGCTGCTAGGGGGGCCCAAGGAAGCGCGAGGGAAAAATTCCGCCGCTGAGGGAAACCCGGAGCGCTGCCGACCTGCCGTACGCCCTCGGAGACCTGTGTTATGGCCCTGCGACCGCGCACCCCCCCACGGTCGAGGAAGAGGGTGCGTTCTGCAGTTAAGGGGTAACCCGGTACACGGAACTATCCCTCGGAGACGTGTTATGGCCCTGGGACCACGCACCCCCCCCCTTACCTAGCTCTTAGGGGTCAGGGCTCTCTCATCGTCGACTCGACATTGTACAGCTTCTCCTTGAACAAATCGAGTACCTCTTTGGGAAGGTCGTCGTCGCGTTGGATGCCGAGAACGGATTTGAGCGCGTCCACGTTGTGATGATACTGAGGAAACACCTCTCGCTGAGCGGCCATCACCAGGAGAAGGGTGCGCCACATGCGTTCGCCAAGTCGCCCGGCGACGCCAGTCGCGCTGTCGCGAGCACTTCTCTAATCAAATCGGAAACGTTCGTACGTCGTTTTTTATGTTCCTTTCGTTCGTTTGCGATATCGAGTGGGCTAAGCTCCCCCCCTTGGGATCGAAGCTTCCACGACCTCGTACCCAACATCCCAGGCGGGATCAGCGAGGGACTCTGCACCGGACACCGCCCGGGCACAGGCCCCCTACCCGTCGGACTACGCCTGGACCCCTCACAGAGCAGCCCACGCACAGGTCACACACACTCACACACACACACGGAGATTCCGGGCAAGAAGAAATCTTTTTCTGTGCGCGTTGCCGCCTCCTTCTAGGCCACGATGGTCGCTCCAGCTCAAATGCTGGGTAGCTCCATCCAGACGACCCCGGCCGCCATGAAGCAGGCGGTGCTCGACGCAGCCACTGGTGGCATGTCGCCGACATCGAAGGCAAAGTTCATCAAGTACCACTGCAGCGATTGCGGCGGCGACCTCATGGCTGGCGACGGCCCTGGCACTGACGTTACCGGCGCGTGGCGCAGCATGTCACGCAACAAGCACTGGACGAAGCAGAAGCTCGCCGAAGCGAGAGCCACATGGGTGCGGCCGAATGACGAGAAGACAGTCGTCACGGTGTGCACCGGAAGCAGGTGCCGCAAACCACTTCTCCCGACAGCGGAGCAGCTCGAGCGGATGCAAGAGCACAGTCTGACGATCAAGCAGGAGAGCGACGCGCGCGCGGCTGCGGCACGGCTCCCAGGCGACTTTGTCGATGCCGGCGACATCTTAGATCTGCTCAGGATGGGCATGTAGCGCCCAGAGACACGCGCGGAGCGCGCCGCTGCAGAACACGCGCGGAGCGCGCCGCTGCATGGGTAGGCGCGGAGCGCCGCCACTCGAGATTGGGCCTGTGGGTGGGCCGATTGGTTCCTAGCGTGTGAGTCAAACTCTTAATAGAAATCGCATCTAGCCCTCCACAACCCTCAAAATTTTCTTCGGGGCGCGCTCCGCGCGCGGCGCTCCGCGCCTACTCCTTGAGCGTCATAAGCACTGGTTCGCACATGTTCTGCAGCTTGGGCCCGCTGCTGACCTTCTCACTTCGACGCTCCGCGGCGGGGCCGCTTCGTGGCGGGCGCCTCCGGCTCTGCGGGCTCGCTGGGCTCGACCTTCATCGCCCGCGAGCCTCTCGTGCTCTTGCCCGCCGCGCCGCCTTGCCCGCCGCCGGCTTGCCCACCGCCGTCTTACCACCCGCCGCTTTCCCGCCCGCCGTCATGCTCGTCGCAGCCGAAACCGCATCTTCGACGTCGCCGCCGTCCTCGCCGCCGTCGCCACCAGCGCCGCCGCCCTCCTCAGCGCCGCCGTCCGCCGCCGCCTCCTCCGCCGCCGCCTCCTCCGCCTCCTCCGCCGGCGGCAGGGCGGGCATTTTGCACGCCGCCTCGAACCAAGGCCCGATGGGCGAAGGGGCGCGTATGACGCAGCGCCTCGCCTCGGCGTCGAGCCCTCCCCAGCGAGTCGCGTCGCGAGTTTCAAATTCTTTTTCGCACAACACTGGGCACGGGACTGGCGCGCACTGGAAATCGGGTCAAAATTCTTTTTCGGTTCCATGAAGGGGCGGAAGGAGCAGGCCGTCTTCTCTTCGTCGCTGCAGCCCCTTCACAGTGGCCCCCTTCACTCGTCGCTGCAGCAGCCACTCCCCCTCCCCAAGCACTGCCGATGCCAAAGGGCGGGTCGCGACAGCCGCGGCAGGTGTCCAGCCTTCCGACGCTGGCTGCGCTGACGCTCTTCACCGGCACGATGTTTGCCGTCCCGCTCCTCATTCACCGTCGGCACATGCGCCTGAACAACCAGACGCCGCTCGCGACGAGCGACAAGCCGCTCTCGGCGGCTCAGGCGAGCCGGCACGGCCCGCTGCCCTGACGTATCCCCTTCCAACTAACCGCCAGGGCCTTCACTACGCCGCCCTCCGCCAAAACCAGGTGAGACGAGGCGCCCTCTTGCTGTTCCGCACGGCCGCGCCTTGCTCTGCGTCGTGTGATGCTTCACACCTGAGGCCAATAGGCGCCTACCTCAACACGGGCTCCGGAGCTGCGGCGAGCACCGTGCGGAAGCGACACCCGAATCCCGAGACGTTGCGCTCCCACCGTAGGCTCAAAGGACGTGGGGCTGGACCCAGACTTTGACCCCAAAACAGGCGTGCGCTCTGCGCCCTCGCCCGCGCGGTGGGTGGCGCCGCTCCCCCTCCGCGCACGCCGCCGAAGCGGCGGGCCGGCTCCTGGAGTAGGTACGTACAAGGGCAGAAAGGCGCAGATCGCAGATGCGAGCGCGGGAGGCGATCAGGGCGGCGTCTGGAGCCGGTAGTGCGCGGGCGAGAAAGTGGGTGGCGCGCTGCCGTGCATGCCGCTGTGAGTTTGCCGCTCGAGACGGTCGGGAAGAGAGGCGACGACCGGCCGCACGCGGCGGCGTTCTCGAGCGTTCGCTGCGCGAGTGCCGCGACACCAATGACACCGCCCCTGTTTGTGTGGAGTGCGCCACGGGCTCGCGTTCACACTGTATATAGTGTATTACCGCACGTATATACCGAGTAGAGCCGGAGCGGGGAAGCAAACATACCGCCACAGTCTCCACTTGTTGTGGACTTTGCGTTTCGTCCACCCACATTGGGCCACAGCGCGAAAAAAAACTGAGTAAAACACACTGTGAAGGGCTCGTTCGCTTACCACCCACTGTGATTTTGTGTGAGCTCTGTGTCTTCCTTTGCCAACAACATACCTACAAACCGTACTCGAGTAAAGGGTGTGGATGCTGCGTTGACGGAAATCGGAGGACGCGACCCACTTTCGCCACTGACGGTCCCGCGCCTCGCCACTATGACGGCCACACGACCGCAGCTCGTGTGCGTGTGGCCATCTTTGTCCGGAGTGAAAAGTCCAACGCGCTCGTCGGTGACGGTGTCCTCCAACCTGCGCCACGCTCGGCGAACCTCGACAGCGCTTTCGGTGGCCCTGGGGTCTCGACGGGCCCCCGGGGGCGACGGGGGTGCTCTCCGGCCGCGGCGGCCGAAAACGGGGACCTCTATTACGGTCTATTAACGAAGTGATGCACTTGATGCAAGGGTGCCATTGTGCTCTACTACAAAAGTTGTGTAAGCTGCCCAAGTCTCAGACACTCAATCCTCAGCGGAGCTGAGTTCTGACGGTGTGAACACGAGCAACCGGAGTGACGACCGGGACCGGGCCGCACGCCGGGAGTGCCCCGACTAGCAGTGACGGGCGCGGATGAGTGAATGAGAGGTCGCTATCTGTGGGAGATGTGTTGTTAGAGACTAGGACTGCCTATCTCTTGCTGAAAGGAACCTCTCATTCGCTCGTCCGCACCCGTCACCGCTCACGGAGTGCTCCGCGTGCCGCACCGGCCGCCGCCGGCCGCCGGCCGCTTACGCGGTAACGGAACAGTGTTACTACTCCGCAACGTTGAGCTGGATCAAACTGAATAGTGCTCCTGAAAGCCCTCTCTCTGGGCTCTGCCACACAGTAGCAGCTCACGACTAGCAGCTGGTGTGGCTGTATTTGTAGCCATTTTTAGGCTTCAACTGGTCCCAAAATAGTAGCAACACCTCATGAAAATCAGTCAAAAAAGGCCCCAAAAAATCGGCGCCTGCGGCGGGCTACCTGGGGCTGCGCCCCAGACCCCCTTGACTGGGGGGACCCCCCGCGAGAGCACCCCCGTCGCCCCCGGGGGCCCGTCGAGACCCCAGGTCGGTGGCATGCAGCTCCTTGCGACAGAAGCCTGGAGAGCAGCTCCTCTGCTGCTCACACGCTCTGCACAGTTGACACAGCCTACTGTGCGGCTGCCACAGCTGTGACAGCGATGGGCTCGCCCTCACTGGCCCTCAGTCACTTGTGCTGCGGCTTGTGTGAGCGACACTGCTCGGCGACTGCCGGCACACTGTGAGACCGAGGGTATGAGGTAAAAGCACGCTACCAGCGCTTGATCACATCGGCCCCGAGGTCGGATCCATCTACTCTGTTGATGACAAGACTTGTCTACCGGCTGGAGCCGAGCAGGAGGGCCCGGCGACAACCCCCTGGTCAACTCACCCTCCACACCCCGTACACCGAGGAAACACTTCTATGATCTATCTTCTTGTGAGGACCAGTTGCGCAAGTAGTTGCGCGCGCAAGCCCCAACGCGATAACATACAGTCCTATACGGCGAGATATAGATATACGATATAGCAAATTGGAATGCAACAAAGCCGTACTCCGTTGGCACTTGGCTGTCAGCTCTCTCTCTTCCGCTGTCGACTGCCGTCGGCGGCGTCGCACACACCCACTGCGACGCGGCCGCCGTACGAGATGCTCCTGCCCGTGCCGCGGGCCGGGCGGTTGCGCTCCAGCGGCGCGGGCCGCACCGCCGCCGGCGCGCCGCGGCGCGTGCGCTGGGTGCCGATGCGGCCATGCAAGCAGGTCGCCCTCGCCACATGCGGCGGCGTGTTGGCAGCGTCCCACCCCCTTTTTGCGATTGCGAGGTGAAGCAGCATCACCTCGGAGCCGCCGTTGACGCGCAGCCCGCCCACGCCGTCGGCGCCGCGTGAGGCGCGCCACTCAAAGGTGTGTGCGCCGCACGGGCACCAGGCGCACGGGTCGACGCAGCTCTTGGCCTCCGCGAGAGGCAGCGCGACGCCCGCATCGCCCAGCCGCCCTTGCCGCACCAGCCGCTGCACCACGAAGGACATGCGCCAGTCGCTGCTGCCAGAGCCCCACCACTCGTCGAACTGCATCGGCCGCGGCTCCTGCAGGACGCGCCGCCACTTGCGCGACTCACGGAAGAGCTCTGTGGTGTTGTGCGCGATGCGCCAGGCCGTGAAGGGACCCCACGTGGCTGCGCCCCACGGGTTTGGCAGCAGCGGACACACAAACGAGCCGCGGGGCGGCGCGAGGGCGAGGTAGCGAGGCAGGTCGCCCCACAGGACATCGATGTCGCCCCACGCCCACCACGCCGCGCCCGCTAGCAACTCGGGCCACAGAGCCGCCATGAAGGGCTTGAGGTCCGTCACCTTGTTGCTGTGGTGGAGCAAACTCCCGGCCACCCTCGCCCTCGCCTCGGCCGCCAGAACGCTCGCATTCGCAGCCGCGCGGTCTGAGCTGTACATCACGCAACCCTTGCACTGGTAGCTCGGCGAGTCGTACGGCATGTCCACGCCCAGCTTCTCGCGCACCCGCCTGCGCACCTCGTCCCATTCCGCCGGCACAAAGCGCACGTTCGACGGCACCGAGACGTCCGGTGGAACCGACGCATCACCCACGATGAAGAACCGGACCAACTCGGCGTTGGGACCACCCATCGACGCGAGCGCAATCGGCAGCCACGGCGGCAGGGCTCCAAAGTACGGCACCAGCACCACCAACGTGCCGTACTTGGGTGGTGGTTCGTCCACTCCCTCATGTTCGAGCCGTGTCATGTGCCGCCTCCGCTGCTGCTGCGGTGGCTGCGGCTGCTGCCGCTGCAGTGGCGGCTGCTGCGGCTGCCCTCCCGCCGCCCGTGTGAGAAGGCGCTCGTGGACGATGGCATGGAGTTCGTCGCGCAAGCGAGGCCATGGCAGAGTGCCGTTGGCGTTCCACGCGTCTGCGAAATTCTTTTGCATCTGCTTCCAGTTCTGCGTCTGGTTGCTGCCCGAAGCTCGTTGGCCCGAAGTGGACGGCAGCACGATGCGCCGCACGCGAAAAGTCCTCTTGACGAGCCGCATGTACTGGTCCAGCCACACCCACGGCGCCTTCTCAAACCCGTGGTTGACCAGCTCGATCACTGCGCGGCCGGGGCGCATGTGCAGCGCGTTGATGCAATCGCCGCCGTGCATCGAGACAAAGACGTCCGTCTGCCGCATCTTGGCGACCACGGCGTGCAGCGACATTCCCGCGAGGGCGTGCGCCTCGCATCGCAGCGTCCAACCGCCAAGGAGCAAGCCGTCGCACGCAGCCACCACCTCGTTCAGGTTGAGGATGAATCGGCGCGCGTACCGTGCCTAGTACTAGCTGAGGAAAGTGGGAACACTTATCGTGCAGCGTATGCAGAGTGCCAGTTTGAGTGCAGGGATCTGCCACTGTATCGTGCAGCGTATGCAGAGTGCCAGTTTTGAGTGCAGGGATCTGCATTCAGCATCTAGGGGAACCGTGCCGCGAGCAGCACACGCAGCACGCCCGGCTCGGCCGAGACGGCGCTCGTTTTGAGCTGCGGCACCTTGAAGCCGAGCGCGGCATCGAGAGACGCCATGGCGAGCCACGCGGCACTTCCGCGCAACGAGCTGTGCGGGAGGATCTCGCACAGCCGCACGCTCTCGTAGCACGCGTCCTCGCACCGCAATGTGCGAGGCGACGTCCGCTCAAAGGTGCACACGCTACGTATCCGCTCGAGCCCCTCCACCGCATTAGTCCTCGCCAGCGCGCCCGAGCCGGTCGGCAGCCCCGAAAAGCCGAGTCGGTGCGGAAGCCGTCCCAACGAGAGCAGGTGCCCGAGAGGCAGCATCGTGTCGCGCCAAAAGTCGCCGTACGAAGGCTCAAAAACGGGCCAGATCATCGTGAGGCCTCCGGCCTCGCCACGCAGTATGGGTGACGGCGGCACCGCTCCGGCGCTCATGTTGTGGACGTCGCGCTGGAGGGGGCGCAACTTAAAGCTTTCGATGGGATCACGCATGAAGCGGCGCTCGGCGAGGACTTGGCGCACCTGCGATGACGCGTTCGGCCCGTACACGTCCAGCCGCCACGGTCGCTTGCGGCATCGAGCGGAGCACGTCGGCTGCGGCGTGGACAGCGTGAGGCACGCATTGTGCAGCATCGAGCACCGCCAAGTGTTGGGCACGTAGGACGGCACCGGGTTCTTGTGGTGCAGCACCAATGGCTGCGTGCGGTCGGCCATGGTGAGTCAGCGTGAGGCTGTGGACGAAGGAGCACAGCCGCGCTGTGAAGATTCGCCGGGCCTGGAGACAGCACCCCGAAACGATTGGCTAGAAGAATGCGAGAAGAGCTGAGCCAGAAGCTGTCGCGCGAGTCCAAGTCAGATCCGCGCGCGAGGGACGATCGTAAGTTTCGTTCCCCGTGTGAACTTCCGCCCTGGGAGGCAACCTTGGCGACTACGACCTCCTCAACCCCTCGTCGGCAGCGCGCCGCAAGCAGGTCCTCCTGGAGGAGGGCTGGCCTCGCGGCGAGTTGCCTTCCAAGGTGGGGTTGCGCGAGCACATGCAGGCTCGCCGCTGCGCTGCGGTCGGTATAAGGTGGGCCTGGCCTACCATGGCAATGCCGCTGAGACCGGTGAGTATTTGTACGACCCGAGCTACGCGCCGACGCTGGACATCGGACAAGTGGTCCACACGCTGAACAGAATGTTCAATCTCAATGTCCCACCCCCTTGCGCGCGGGCCTTCTAGGCGCCGCGGGTAGTCTCCCCCCATCCCCAGGGCCTCCAGGGCTCGCACCTCAACCTCTCATAGACCAGCGCAAAGCGCCATAACGTATATTCTTGTCAATAACAAGGTCTGTGAATCGTGCACTCGATGGTCTTCCCCGGCCCGTGCCGGGTACTCGTCCAGTCGATCTGACGTTTGGCTACACTAGTAGAGCCGTGGGCTCATTTCACTTTTTACTTATTTACAGAGCATCGCACCGCGCTCCTCATTTCATTTAGATCGCTTAGCAACACTCTAGCAACACTCTGTGTCTTAGCCGCTAGATGGTGCGGTGGGCTCCGTGCAGCTCCATCAGCTCACTCCGTTCGACTCGGCTCACGACTCGGCTCACAAAAAGCACCCGGCTCTGGTTTAGCCCCCAGCCCTACACTGACTGGACCCAGCGTCCCCGCGCAGCCTACACGATATACACGATGGCATGGTGCCCACCCTACACCCACCTCCCCGCGCGGAGCCGCTCCAACGCGACCGGTGCGCCCTGTCTGTGACCAACCAAAGCACCAAACTGAGGACTCTCTCTCCCCCCAAACACCAAACTGCCTCGAAAACTGCCCTTACCTACTACTTGAGCACTTGAGCACTGGGGATGTCGACATTCCTCGTGAGCCGGTCTGTTGTGTAGGGGCTTGTATTATAAACAAAGTGCAGGATTAACTTTCAGATTACCCGGTTTTGAGATCGCCTCGCAGATTACCCCGGCCAACGAAATTGCGCAATTTCCGTCAAACCAGTTTACCCAGTCTCCCACAATTCATGTTTCAGCTTACCCGGTCGCTAACATTTCTCATGTCAGATTCCCCGGTCGACCATTTCTCGTCCAGATCACCCGGCGATATTTGCCTCGCAGATCACCCGGTGCGGCGAAATGTCGTTTCCAGTACCCGGGTGGCGAAAACAAATTTCTTTTTCCAGATCACCCGGCAGTGGGATGCGCCGGCACAGATCCGCCCGTCCGCGTCCGGTAAGTTGAACCAACGACAAATACTCGACGGCCGCCGGGTAAACTGGACGAGAAATTTATTTGGTCGACCGGGTAATGAACGTTAGCGGCCGGGGTAAGCTGAAACACATGAATTGTGGGAGACTGGGTAAACTGGTTCGACGGAAATAAGCAGGAAAATATCGTTGCACGTTGGCCGGGGTAATCTGCGAGGCGAGTAAATGCCATGACCCATGTCCAAATCGCAAACATAAGAAATCCAAACACCCACACAGCCACGTGGCATATAGGTAGGAGAGAGAGAGAGCTTAAAGTGAAAGGAGGTCAGCACAACTAAAAAGGGAAACGGAGTTAAGAAAAAATCTCTTCAGCCTCGTGTCGTGAGCGAGCTCAGTCCAAATTCTTTTCAGGACTTCGTTTGCATATGACAACGTCGAAGGCACTCGGCAAGCGTCCGGTGTCGCAGCGGCCGTCGGCGTTTGACGTCCTGCTCAACCGCGCGCGTTGTGAACGTGCAACATCAAGCCCTGCCAGCGATCCCGCCCGGCGGCCTCCTTTCAGCGAGACGCGTGGTGACGGCTCACGGTTCATCGAGTGCCCGTGCTGCGGCGAACAGATCCACCGAGCCCTGATAGGCTCACACCTGGAGTGCTGCCCCGGGGGCGTGGCTGCCGCGCCGCCCTTCGCGGCGGCTGCCGCCGCATCGCAAAACAGCGCCGCCTCCTCAGTGGCGTCCGAGGTCGCGTGCCCCTCGTGCGGTTCCTACTTTCCGACCGAGGCCGCCGTCTTTGCGCACCTCGATGTCTGTCCGGGAGCACGCGAAGCAGAGGACGCGGACAGCTGCCGCGAGAGAGAGAGCGGCTGCGCCTCTTCCGGCGATTGTCAAGGTAGCTCGAGCGGCGATGGTGGGAGTACCGGCGGTGACCCTCGCGTCTCCTGCCCGGCGTGCGGCGTGTGCGTGCAGCTGTCGAAGCTGAACTCGCACCCCACTCAACCGCCGCGCCGCTAGAGTGGTGAGTCGCCTCTCCAGCCGCGGGCTTTTAATAGGCACCTCGACGAGTGCGCGGTGCGGATTACGCCACAAACGCCCCGGCCGCGGCCATCGCTGTCGCCTCCGCCGCCATCGCAGCCGCCGCCTGTACAAGCGGCGGCAGCGCAGCCGGAGTTGCCAGCGTGCGTCCAAGAGGAGCGCGAGGTGTGCGGGGAGAGCGAGGGGCCGGCCTCGGGCGGCGACGCCGTCGCCCTCTCGCAGCCGCCGACGCAGCTCGCGCCGAAGAGCATCGAAGCCCTCGCCGCCGAGCTCCGCTGCACCGTCTGTATGGACATCTTCGACGAGCCGACCTTCCTGCCGTGCGGCCACAACTTTTGCCTCGCCTGCATCACCGATTGCTTCCGCATCATGTCGCAGATGTGCTGCCCGCTCTGCAAGGCGCCCACGTGGCGGAGGCAGGTCACGGCAAACCACTCGCTCGCGAGCATCGTGGCCGCCTACCGGGCGATCGCAGACGCCCATCAAAGCTAGCCGCGCCGCATGATCACCAAGCAGGCCGCTCAGACGTCACCGGCTGGATGGAGAGCTCGTGGTCTTCTTTCTGCCAGTTTATGTGTCTCTGGGGCGCCCCCTCTGGGAACAACGTCTCATCCTCCCCGAGGCTCCCCTCCTGTCGCTCCCTATCCTGTCTCTCCATCATCTTTCTCACCGAACGGTCAGGCTGTGAGAGCAAGTTGTGCTGTTTAAATTCTTTCGCGCCTCTTCGCGCCTCCTAAAAATGGCGCGGCACAAAGTCTCATACATCGGCAAGGTACCTTTCAGGAGGTACCCGACAAAGGTCGTAGTTGGCACTCAACCTAACCACTTCGTCATGCACAAAAATGCCACGCCCGCGGATATCGAGGCGCACCCGAAGTTCGCTTCGCTCCAGAGCCGCTTCGCCTCGCAGGACCCGGAGTGGGAAATACTCCAGCGGCTCGGGCCGGCGCAGGCGGTGCTGGACGCGTCCGCCGCCGCCGCCGCGGGTGCGTCGGGCGGCGCAGCGGCCGCGGCGGCCGGCTCGGCGGGTGGCGGCGCGGCGGCCGGCTCGGCGGGTGGCGGCGCGGCGGCGGCGGGCAGCGCGTCGGCGGGCGGCGCGGCGGCGGCGGGCGGCGCGGCGGCGACGGGCGACGCGGCGGCGGCGGCGGTGGCGGCGGCGGCGGCGGCGAGAACGGCGGCACCGAGTTGTCTCGGTGAGCGGAGCGGCGGCAGGAGGAGGAGCAGCTCGCTGTTGAGCGCTTTGGAGCCTGGGACCCCATGCCACTGCGACCGGCGTGCCCGGGAACAGAGATCGCGCGCGCGCCGGTGCACCGCGCCGCGTTGATTCGCGACCACCGTCGGCCGCGGACGGCGGCGCTGCCCCTACCACCGCTGGGGCTACGCGCTCGACGGCCGGCCGCGACGCCCTCCTTTGATGACACGGCGGACGGCAGGCGGATTCCCGAGCACATACGCCAGAAGGCGCGCAGCGCCAAGCCGCACCTCCCTCGCAGCCTCGCCCGCCTTTCTTGCGGCCCTGCCTGTTCCGGTCCCACAAATGCGCCGCCCCGCCGCTCCGTTTACACGCACACACTGATCTGTTGCTCCCGCAGTTCTGCACCTCGCACGTCAAGGGCTTCGACAAGTCGCGCAACGGCCTCTTCCCCGTGAGGGCGGACTCGGCGCTCGGGCTCATCTTTGTCAACGTCAACGGCGAGTCCCGCCTCTGGCTCTGCCATGTCTCTGCCTGCCCCCGCCATGTCTCTGCCTGCCCCCGCCGCTCCTCTGGGCGTGCTTCCCACCCCGGCCTCTGCGGACCCTCCCGCCACCGCCCACCTCCAGGCGAGGCGCCTCCGCTCTCCGAGTGGCTGGGCGACCTGCTGCCCTCGCTCTCGGAGTACGAGAGCAGCTTTGGCGTGGGCACGCCCGGGCTCGTCCCGTACAAGCGCAAGCAGTACGACGTGCCCGCCAACTGGAAGCTCCTGGTCGAGAACTACCTCGAGTACTACCACCTGCCGGCGGTCCACCCGGACTCTGCAACGTGAGCGGCGTCGACGAGCACCCCGGCACCAAGGGAGGGGCATGTACATGTGCTTTGCCACGGAGCCTCTCTCGCGGGGGGGGACGCCCATCGACCCCGGCAGGATCCCTCCCTTTCCGACGCTCCGGCCGCGCCACCAGCGCATGGCGTACCACGTCGCCTCTTCCCCAACACCTTCTTCTCCCTCTACCCCGACTCGCTGTTTCGGGTCATCCTCTCACCGCACGGAGCGGGGCGCACCGTCGAGCAGGCGACGTTCCTCTCGCACCGCGCCGCCTTCGACGCGCCAGGCGGCGAGGCGGTCCTTGAGGACATGTTTCAGTTTTGGGACCTGATCAACACGCAGGACATCGACATCGTCAAGAATGTGCACCAGGGCACGAGCACCCCCCTCTACACCGGCGGCCGCTTCTCTCGTTCCGGTTCGAGGAGACGCTGCACCGCTTCCAGAACATGGTCATCGACAAGATGCTGGTCCACGAGCCGACGCGCTACCGCATCCCCGACGGCGACGTCGACTACCACGACCTGCTCGCAGCACCCGACCCGCTGCTCCCTGCGGCCGCATCCTCCGGCTAGGGGAGCGAGTGAAAATAGTACGAAACTCGTTTGGAGAATGCGAGCGAGACAGCGCGCCATAATTTACCTGTACACTTTTGTACGGCTTTACGTTTGTATCTCTCATCGACCTGAAACCCCCCCTCTGGATTTCCCCCTCCCGCCTTAGTTAACACGCGGGGCGCTGACCGGCCGCTGCACCGCTCCGCCCAAGGAGCTGTCGGAACCGCTCGGCGTGCCTCAAAGTGATTGACTCGAGCCGCACCCGCTCCCCCCTCGCGAAAGTGGCGAGGGCGTCGATGTCGCCTGCAACTGGAGAGCACGGGCGAGACGTCGGGGTCGAAGCGGCCGTGGGATAAGCCGCGTTGTTGTCGCCCTGCGGCTGCGGCTCCGACCCGCCGCCCCAATCGGCGGGCCCAGGAAAGATTCCGTACGTGGCGGAACAACCGACGGGGGACGAGCGCTGAGTCTCCGTTTCTGGTAGAGGCCCGGCCCCCTGCATTTGCCGCAATCGATGCTGCATCTCGCTGCACTCCTTGCGGTGCGCGGCCTCCCGCTCTTCCAAAGCCGCGAGGGCGGTCTGCCGCTCAAGCAGCGCGCGCTCGCGCTCGTCATTTGCTCTCTCCGCGGCGAGCTGCGCCCTCTCGAGCCGCAGCCACACCTCGGAGAGCGACGCCTCGGACGCGTCCCGCTGAGCCGCCGCCTCTGCCGCCGCAACCTCCGCCGCGCACCGCTGCTCAACGAGCGTCTCCGCATCTCGCTCTGCCTGGCGGTGGAGCCGCCTCGCCTACTCACAACACGACCCGCCTGCCGCAACCGAACGACGCGGCCGGAAAACGCGACCTCCGCGCCTCAGTCAGGGCGTCCAGAGCGGCTGTGGCCTCGCGGCCGGCAGCGGCAGCCTCGACCGCCGCATGCTGGCTCCGCCGCTCCACCTCCTCCTCTGCACGCTGCATCGCCCGCTCCGCCTCCTCCTCTGCACGCTGCATCGCCCCCTCACGCCGCCGCTGCAACCCCGCCGCCGCCTCCAACTCCCGTATCGCCTCGCCCTGCGCTTCGGCGGCTGAGTGCGCCGCCTGCGCCTGCGCCTCCGCCGCCACCTTGCTCGCGAGAGCGGAGTCAAGCAGCCGCACCAGCCTGCCGGTCCCGTGTGGGGCGTGGTGAGGATGAGTGAGCGGGCTGGCACGACAGCGAACGGCCGCGACGCCTCTCACGCTCGCTGCCAAACAGCCGCTCCTGGTCGAGAACCTCCTTGCGGAGGCACGCCTGTGCCACCCTGGCCTCCTCCACCTCGCGTGCAAGCCCGCGCAGCATGCCGACCGACGCCTACGCGGTGATGTCAGGGGCATTTCCTGGAGCTTTCCCGGGCATTTCCTCGAACTGTCCCGGATGTGAGCCGACGCCTATTTGGTGATGTCAGCCGCGCTGCACATCCTCGAACAGCGTCGGCATGTGTGGCGTCGCGGTCGAAAGGGCCTCTGCATCCCTCGCTCGCACGGCTGCGCGTCGTGCAGCCTCCTCATGCCTCGCCCGAGTCGACTCCGCCTGTTGAGGGCGGAGGGTCCGTGAATACCGGAGGGGCTTCTCCCCCCCGGTCGCGGCGGGCGGCTCTTCTGCTGCCTTCTGCGCCTGCGCCTCAGCCGCGAGCGCGCGGTCCCGCTCCTGTGCAAGGAGAAGCTTCACGCCCTCCCCCTCCGCGCATGACTTGCTCGGACCGCCCTGTGCCGCCAGAGATTCCCAGCCGCCCGGCGACTCCCCGGCGTCGCCGCGGCGGCGGGAAAACGGCTCTGGGGTCGCCGGCCCAGTGGGCACATAGGGAGAGTCAAGCCGCAGGAGGGCTCGAATCGCCTCCTCATGCCCGGCCCCTCCCGTCGAAGATCGAGACCGCGCCGCGTGCACGCGCGCCTGGATGCGCCACACGGCCGCTGCCCGCCGGCTGAGCCACTTTGCGGGCCTACGTGCTGAATACACCAGCATCAGGGCGGGAGTACGGTGTTGCGCAGTGTCTTCAGAGCACCGCGTGAATACAACGGGTAGGAATGCAGTGAATGCAGCTGAATACACCGGATTACACCGGAGTACGTGTCTCTCGAGTGCTGGTTGGGATACATGAACACGTATTCCGCTTCTTGGGCTGCGGGCCGTCGGGCGAGCGCCGAGAGAGCGTCGGAGAGCTTTCGCTCGCAAGCCCGCAACGCGTCTCTCTGCTCCGCATAGCCGTCGAGAAGCTCGCTGCGGTCCGCTTCGGCGCGGATCCGGAGCGACTCGGCGTCCGACTGCGCGCGCGCGGCGGCGCCTGCTCACACTCGGCTCGAAAGTCTGCAGAAAGCAGGAGGGTGGCACGGCCCGGTGCGCTCCGGCGGCTCTAGCGCCTGAGGGGTGCCGCAAAGGAGAAGTGCAGGATAGTTGGCGCAATGTGAGGGTGCCATGTGCATGTACCCATGGGCGCAGTGTGGAGGGGAGAAGGAACGCGCCCAAGTCTGCCGCCAAACGCACCAAACGGCCACGGACCAAAGCATCTAGTGCGCGCCGAGCTGCTGCTGTGACTCCTCGAGAGAGCGGGACAAGTCTCTACTTTGCGCCACCGCGTCACTCTCCGCTTGCACGAGTGCGGCTCTCGCCGCGTCGAGCCGCGAGCTGAGCGCGGACAGTTTCCCCTGCAGGGCCGCCTCGCGCTGCGACGCTGCCTACGGCCGCCCAAAGTGGCCAGCTGCTCCCTTCAGTGTCGGCGCCTCTTCCCTCGCACCCACCCTCTGACGTCAGGGCTCAGACTTTGGGGAGCGGCAATCGCTGGCACCTGCAGCTTGGTGCGGAGGGCGCTCTGCTGGCGGGCCGCCGCCGCGTGCTCCTTTAGGATCCTATTGCGGGCAGACCACTCCTCGCCACGCGGCCGAGAGGAGCCAGAGAGGCTGGCACGAGAGCCGCGCCTCACGCCGCCACGCTGCTGCAGCCCCAGCACCTTGCTGCTCTCCTCCAGCGCCGCCGTGAGCGCCGCCCGCTCCGACTCGCCGCGCCGGGTGATGTCGTCTAGCGCACGCTGCAGCCGCGCCCGGTCCGCCCGCAGCGCCTACTTCCGTGTCCCAAGTCAGAACTGTCGGCAGCGATTGGCTCCGGCTGGCGCGAACCTCTGTGGTTGTCGCATTCGTACTTGTCCCTTCCTCGCAGGCGCATCCCGCTTTATTGCCCAGCGCTCCACCAGCCAGCAGAGAGCAGGCGCCTGCGTTCGGCGAGGCACAACTCGTCCATGACTCCCGAGCCTGCTCCTGCGGCTCTCGCTCCCTTGCACTGAGTCGGAGGCGCGCGTCTCGAAGCGCACAGAGAGCCTCGCGCAGCCTCGACTCGGTTGCCGCCTGTTGCCTGCGCAGTTCGGCGCGGGCAGCCCGCTCCTCGCGGAGCGCCCGTTCGAGCTGCGCCTCACGGCGGCCCATGCGTGTCGGAGAGGGAAGCGATGGCTTCAGTTTGGTGACAGGCGCGCCTGCCTGATCTGGTGCATGCTGCGAGTTGGGCGCGGTGATGGGCTCGTGCGGGATCGCCGCCTCGTCCGCCTCGAGGATGCCTTGCAGCGCCGCCAACCGGCTCCGCTCCGCCATTCGCAGAAAAAAAATTCCAACGCGGACAATCACGGCGGTGATTGCGGCGCAGGTGGGGGGACGGGAAGTCCGTCGGCGTTGCCGGGGGCCCAAGGAAGCGCGAGGGAAAAATTCCGCCGCTGAGGGCGCTCGTGCGGCAATAGCCGGGTGGAGGGGGGAGCGTGCCGGACGGGGCGTCGTCGCGCCGTCCGATGGTCTGCTGCCCCGCGCAGCAACCGTTGGGCGACGACCCGGGGGCCAAAAACCCGGCGACGACGGCGCTCTGGATGGGGCGTGACCTCCTGCCTCCAACCTCCTTCCTTTTTGAGCAGGTGTGACGCCGCGCGAGCGACGCTCCGAGATCGCCCGAGATAGCGCGGCGCGGCCCCGAGATAGCCCGAGATAGCGCGAGATCGCCCGAGATCGCGCGGCGCGGCCCGGGGCGAGGTGGGTGGGTTGGGAGCGAGGGGGCGGAAGTGTTCAGTGCGGTAGATGGTAAGCTCGAGGCGCGTGAGCCGGACTTGTGAGCCGGACCACCCCCTCTTGTTCCCTGCGTTGTTGAGCCAGGACTCAACATACTCGGGCTGTTCATCCCAAACTGTCACTCCCCTTTCTCCCGGCCGAGGTGGGGCGCGCGCGGGGGCGGCGGGTGTGCGGCGGGTGTGCGGGATGTCTGTGGGCCCGAGAGCGATATGCCATGTCCGCCTTGCGTTTGGTTCATAACATCGAAGGCTAAGCTCAAAAAAAATTTACTCGGCTCAAAACCGCATAAAAGCCGACAAGTAACGTGTGAGTGTGTGTGTCACACCGACAAGTAACCCACCGCGCAGCGAATAACAGTGGCGGCGCCGTGATTTCTTACGCACAAACGAGGCAAGCATGCAAGCAGGCCGCCACCCACCCAGAAAAATCATTCAATCAACGCAACGCGCGCATTCAATCAAATGGGTTCCTCCCGGCCGGGGGGGGGGCAGCACCCTTGCAACCGAAAGACGGCGTGGCTCGAACGGGTGGGGGGGATACGAAATAGAGCTCGACAAGGAATTCTACAAGGAAGGGACGGCCCACTTGGTTCAACTGTAAGTTGCCGTCGGCGGCCTCGCCGAAGGCAAGCGCGATGCTCGACGCACCACCCGCCGCGCGGCGCGTCTCGCCGCGAGTCGTCCTCGGGGCGTTCGCGGCCGCCCTGCTGATCGCTGCTCCGGCCATGCGGCACACCGCGCTGATCACAGAGCGGGACGCAGACCAAATCCCACCGTCGGAGGGCGAGCCGTGGTGGATGGGATATGTCAGCACCGCGCAGGGCTGGCTCGGGGCCCTCGGGTCGATGCACGAGCCGGTTACCACCCTCCCGGCGAGCATCGCCCGCGCGGTGCTCCCTGCCCCCCCCGTCATCATCAGTAGCGATATCAACGATGGATACTACAAGGCGTTCCCGGGGACGGGTGGCGGCAACATGAAGCTCCTCTCTGTTGAGGATCGGAGCATGGAGGCGACCTTTGTCCCCGAGCCCAAAACGTACAACGAGGGGGAGATATTCATGCAGTGGTAAGCCTCCTTCCGGCCTCCCCGCACGAAAACCGGGGCCGGGGTCGGGCGAGGTGAGCCATGACGCGTCTCCACCAACCGCCCGTAGGTTTGCCCTGGAGGCGACTGCCGGCGGGGGCGGTGTCCTCAGCGGCACACCGCCTGTCTGCACTATGGAGGAGCAAGAGGAAGGATTTTTGTATCCCTCGTGCGATGGTGGTCACACGGAGGCTGACATGGGAGCTGGGATGCCCATGAAATTTATGTCTATGGCGCTCTGCACTTTGTTGTTTTTGCTCTGCGCTGCTTTGCGCAAAAGGTGGCTCAGTGGGAAAATCGTTGTCTCATGAGCCTAACAAAGCAGGATCGACTCTCGTGAGGGTGATTCGAGTCCCGAGTTCAAGGTCCTGAGGTGACTGGGGCGGGCAGGAGGGTGCGCCCTCCGAGAGGAGCTCCTGTTTTGTTAGGCTCATGAGAAAACGATTTTCCCACTGAGCCACCTTTTGCGCAAAAGGTGGCTCAGTGGGAAAATCGTTGTCTCATGAGCCTGACATCTACATCCTCCTCTACACCCTCCCTCAGTGAGGGGTATGGCCCCCACTCCTCGCGTGTGACGCTCGCAGAGGATTGTCCACCGAGCACCGTCCTCCCATACCTCCACTTCGCACCATCCGCCCGCGCCTCTTGAGCTGCCATCGTGGCTCTGTGGCCCCCCAAGAGACCTCACAGTTGTCTTGCCCCCCCCCCCCCCCCCCCGTTGACCGTTGTTGCCCTGAGCTCTCCGGTTTCCATCCATTCGAAGACCGGTGCCTCGCCTTGTGTGGGTGCGACCCATCGCCTGCCCTGCCCATTATCATTCATGCATGTCCATCCATTCCCAGGCAGGTCGCTTGTCGGTGCCTTCCGCCGTCGACTGAATTGGGAAAAGAAACCCGATTGCGTGCACGCGCACGGGGCTCTGCCTGCCATGGGCATCTCGCGCGACTCGCAGCACAAGCGGCGGCTGACGGGCGGCAAGAAGCCGCACCACCACAAGAAGCGCAAGCATGAGATGGGCCGCCAGATGGCGATGACCAAGATTGGCGCGAAGCGCATCCACCCTGTGCGCTGCCGCGGCGGCAACATGAAGTTCCGCGGCATCCGGCTGGACACGGGGAACTTCTCGTGGGGGTCGGAGGTGTGCACGCGGAAGACGCGCATCCTCGACGTCGTCTACAACGCCTCCAACAACGAGCTTGTGCGCACAAAGACGCTTGTCAAGAGCGCTGTGGTGCAGATTGACGCGACGTGCGGCCCGCCCCCCGCCCCCTTCCCCATGCCCCGCACGCCCCGCCGCGCTACCACCGCGCGCAGTGGCGCCGAGGCGAGGCCTGGTCGGCGGGTTGGCAAAGGGCTCCCGGCGGGCCGAGCGGGCGGCGGGGGCGCGTGCGGATCAAGGACAGATGGATGTTGGGAGGGGCAGATGGGGTGGGGACCTGCTTCCCCCCACCCGGGCAATTTGCGCCGCTGCTTGCGGATCCCACAAAGGGCGGGGGAGGGGGGGGGGGGGGGGGGCACAAAATTGGGCGGGTCTTTGGAAGCCCACCCCCCCGCAAAATCCCCGGGAAATCCCGGGAGGC